TAACTGCCCACGTTAACTGACAACTAACAACAATTCAATATCCTTAGGCAACGAACCATGCCTTTCTAGCGCCCAAGATACTATGCGATTCAAGAATGATCTATAGAGAACATACAATCACATAGTACTCGCAGCGCACTTTGCTTTGCTCTCCTAACTCTCCGCAGAACACACCAATACAACACCAACAACTTGCCAACGAACCAAACTCAGCCTCTTTAGGGGATATCAGGAATGCCAATAGCAGACCCATTGTACCCCAAGAGCACTAACTCCTGCTACCCACCATCCTTGTAATCAACAGACTTCCCTGTCGCACAGGTGAAGTATCCATGACCACAAGGCCAAATGTCTTCCTATCAAACCAAATAGAGGCGCAACGCCGTTTGCGACGCGACGCGACATAAACACTTCGGCTCAGCGCTGCTCTAATAAAGCAGCGCTGCGAAAAATGCTTACGTCACCTTGCTCACGCCCCGCCTGGCCCAATGCGCCAACCAACTTACCCCACACGACAATACCTCAAGAGCACCTTGACCCCTCACGCCTCAAATGATGAGAGCACTGCACCGAAACCTACCACCCCTAGCATTCCCACGCCTAAGTCCTACGCCTGCCCCTGTGCAGCACCGCCTTACCTTGTTGTCCTTACCTTCGCCTTCAAGAAAGAGAACGATGGATCCTCGTCTTCTTCTGTTGCTGACGTCTTCAATTTTTGGCCTTAATTGGGTTGGTAAACAAGCAGGATAACAAATAAATCAAAAAAGCAACAATAGATTATGTAATCTGGGGAAAGCGTCACCATCTTGTACAACTGTGCCATCGATGACCACCAGACGAACACAGCCTCCAGCTCTTACGTGGATACTGCCATGGATAATTAAATATGCTTAATTGTTCTTATTCATACAAAGTAAGTTTATTCAAAAAAAAAACTAAAGAAGGAAGAGAGGAACTCATGACAAATGCATACAATGCACGTGTGGAGCCCAGCGACTTGACCACCATGGGAAATCGTGCACAGCAACCAGAGGAGCCAACAATGATCCTTGATCCCCTCTGCTGTCTTAGGAGGAAAATGTTCATAAAAAAAGCATTATAAAAGGAGTAGTATACTTTTGTTGCAAAGAAAAGCGTATTTTGTGCCATTTGCTGCATGCATACCTCGCTGCAACAACTCCTACAGCTGCTGTTGGGGCTGATGATCGTCGAGTCTGCAGCATTTTTGCATCCATTGGATCTGTACTGACGCCGATCCAAGGACTCTCTCTATCTCTCCCCCTCTCTCTCCCTCCCTCTCTCTCCCTCCCTCTCTCCCTTTCTCTCTCTCTCTCTCTCATAGAACAGACGGTTAAGAGAGTAAGACCTCCAGGGTTGCACTGTTGGAGAAGGTATGGCTGTAAAAAGGGGAGGGGCGGGGGGGAGGGGGAGAGAAGACACACAGGGCACCAAGCATACGTGCATGCATCAATGGACCTCCATGTACAGCCCAACTTGCATGCATGCATAACGTGTTGCCTAACAGCTTCTGCCTTGAAAGAGACAAACTATACTCACTAATCTAGTTGAGTCCTGCATGCATGCATGCAACTCCTACTATAAGAGAGAACAGGTCCCTTACTCATGGGACTCCTCGAGACACCTCGTTACATAGCGTATTCCTTTGTGCTCCTCTTTATGCATGCATGCAGCCGCCGCTCTAGATGCATGCATGCAGCCATGCATGCAGCTGCTAGATTGAGTGTGGCATTTTCTTTAGATAAGTGTTAATGATGAATAGTATGATTATGCATGCAACGAGTGTTAAGGAAAGAGGAATAACATATTGATGATTATGTGCATGCACAAGGGGAGGCTGAGGTATAAATAGGAGTAAACTAACTCCTTTTGTACAGTCCTATTATTCATTATTTGCATAATAAATACAAGACAGCAAACATACAACATGCAGCAGCTGGGGTGTCTATACAGCTCGTTACTGTGGCACTATTAGACCTCTGCATATATAGCTGATGGCTTATCTAAGAAGTTGCACAGCTAACTATGACGTTGTTTGTGCAAATAAATATATAAATAAATAAATAAATAGATAATAAACAATAAATAAATAAATAATAAACAATAATAAATAAATAAGGTAAATAATATAGAAAGAAGAAATGACAACTTCTTTAGAGGTTTCTGTTGTTCGTATGATGGCGGAAGAAATAACAAAAATAATAATAATAAATAAATAAATTATTTATTATTATTATTATTTATTTATTTATTGTTTTTTTAAATAAATAAATAGGCGGAAAAATAAAAAGCACGTAAATATTCACCTTACTATAAACATTAATTTCCTGCAGTACCTGCAGTACCTGTTCGGGTGTATCTACAGAATACACAGACACAATTATATATATACATATACATATATACATATATATGTACATATATACGTATATATTATACGTATACATGTAAGTCCATTGGTTTATTACTACATATAGACAATTAAATAAAAGAAGAAAAGGAAGAAAAGAAAAGACAGGGGAATAAATTGTTAACTCTGCTGCAGTGTATAGATAATTCCGGTGTATCTGCAGCTCTTTCTCTTCTTTTTTTTTCCTTTTTCTTTTTTACCTAATTAATTAATTATTTATTATTTTATTTATTTTGCATTATTTTATCCTTGTTTACTTTATTTTCCCTTCCTTTTATTCATTCTTTTCTTCCTTCTCTCCCCCTTTTTCTCTCTCCTTTTATCTTAATTGTATACGCATTCATCTTAAGATTCCTCTTCCTTTACTTCTGCCTCCCGGTGTACGTACGTCTCATGATTCTCATCTAGCTGCTGCTGCTCCTCCTCCTGTTGCTGCTCAGCCTGCTGCTCCTCCTGTTGCTGCTCGGCCTGCTGCTCCTCCTGGCTCTTCTCCTCAGGCTGCTGCTCCTCAGCCTGCTGCTCAGTTTGCTGCTCAGCTTGCTGCTCCTCTGCCTGCTGCTCCTCAGCCTGCTGTTCCTCAGCCTGCTGTTCCTCAGCCTGCTGTTCCTCAACCTGCTGCTCCTCAGCCTGCTGCTGCTGCTCAGCCTGTTGCTCCTCCTGGTTCTGCTGCTCCTCTTGTTGCTCTTGCGGCTGTTGCTCTTCTACTTGCTCTTGCTGCTGTTGGTGCTCATCTTGTTGCACCTCTTGCTGCTGTTGCTCCTCGGGCTGAGCCTCTTGCTGTTGCTCGTTCTGCAGCTGCTGCTCGTCCTTCTGTTCCTCTCCCTGCTCCTGCACTTGTTCCTCCTCTTCCTTCTCCTCTGTCTTCTGTTGTTCCTCCTTCTGTACCTCCTGCTGCTCCTGCTGTTCCTGCTGCTGCTGCTGCTGCTGGTCTGCCGCTAGCTCCTCGCCAACAGTGACTGTTTCCCCAATTTGTAGGGTGGGGGTAACAGCAGGTTCTTCGGGTAAGGAGAGGAAATCACAAGAAGCAAAAGGAAGAAAATAAAGAGAAAAAGATGCAAAAATGCATGCAAGAAGATATATATAGGACGTCATTGTACACCGCAAAAAAGAGGAAGACGACGGAAGACGGTGGTGTAACGGATCGGCAATAAAAGGGGGAATTTATTGACAATTCCTCCCAATTATTTAAATAATTTAAATATAAATAATAAAATAAACTTACGAAGAAGTATTATTTCTTCTTTTTTGCCTTTTTCTTCTCTTCTTTACCTGCGAGCAACGACCGTTGATGGTCCGCTGCCGGTGCTTCCTCGAGGAAGCTGCATGCATGCAGCTCCCTCTGCTTCTTCTATTGCCAATTTTTATTTTTTTCTTCAATTTTTATTTAATTTATATAATATTATTTAAATATTATTTACATAAAAGTATAAATATTCCTTTTTTTGCAGAGAAGGTGCCACCATGCGCTAGCCAAGGGGAAGAATGCATATAAAGTGCTCGCACCGCTGCTACTGGCAAAGAAAGAGCATTAAAAATAAACTTTTTATGTATATTTTTTCCTTTTTTTTTATTTTTAATGTTTTTTAATTTTTAATTTAATACAATAAGCTATTTAATGCTCAATTAAGTCCTTTTTATAAAGGATAGAGGTGTATTAATACCCTTAATTATTCTTATCTGTACATACACTACGGTGCATCGATACTATTCATACAATATATATATGAGTCTTATGCATACTATAAGGATAAATTAAATTAAATAATAAATAATTAATAATAATTAATTAAATTAAATAAAAAAGATTAATTCTTTTTAATTATTTATTAATTTATTTAATTATTTCCCATTAATTATTCATGAGGAAGACTTTTTTGTATGCATGCAAGTAAATAAGGGATTTCTTTCCCTTTCTCTTTTATTCACATATTTATTTTATGTTTATTTTTATTCTTTTCCTCCTTCCTTTCCCTATTCATCTCCTCCTTCTTATTCCTCTCCTTCTCTTCTTAGTATGCAGGCACACTTAAGGAGGTAGTTACTTGTTACTAAAAAGAAGGGAGAAACTTATTATAATAACACTAATAAATAAATAAATAAATAAATATATGTATATATATATTATTATTATTATTATATAATATAATAATAATATATTTAATAAAAAACATTTATTTATTCCTTCCTTAGTCAACAAAAATTCAACATTAAAGCAGCAGCAGGAGATACGCCCTCCCTTTTGTTGCTACTTGCATGCATGCATGCATGCATATATGCATGCATGCGTACATACATACATACATGCATGCATATATGTATGCATGCGTACATGCATACATGCATGCATGCATGCGCCTTGTTGTTATTGCATGCAGAGTTTTGTATACCTAAAGTGCATGGTAGCTAAATAACAAATATATATATATATATATATATATATATAACCCTAAAACCCTAAACCCTAAACCCTAGATAACTGACAAGAGCTATAGTACTAAAACAAAGAAGAGTCTTAACAATCCTTCCATGCATGCAATCGCTTTGCTTATGATAATTATTTCTTTTATAAAGTTTACCCGCTGCTGCTGCTGCTGCTGCTGCTGCTGCTGCTGCTGTTGTAGAGGGAACTGCAGCAGCAGCAACAGGGATTAGATATGCATGCATTTGTAGGTTATTTTGTTACGTGCATCCCCTTGCTGCATTTGCTGCTACAACTCTCGTCATAAAACAGCCCCAAAAGCATGCATGCATGCATGCATGCATGCATGCATGCACTTTTCTACGCATGCACTAATAATATATATATGCAAATGTTACCATCACCAATGCATACATATATTTCCTCTCCTTCCTTAAGGGTAGATGCACTAATGACGTCAGCAATGCATGCATGCATCCTGCATGCATCCTGCATGCATCCTATAGGTTAGTCACGTGCATGCATTACAAATCTTTACTCTTAGGAGAGCAGCAGCAGAGCAGCAGCAGAGCAGCAGCAGAGCAGCAGCAGAGCAGCAGCAATGCTGCTGCTGCAGTACCTCCATTTAGAGGGAGATATTTATTGCATGCCTTATCCTCATTATAACTAAATAAGAAAAAAAGAAATAAATAAATAAATAAATAAATAAATAAAGGTATTATTATTCCCTAATTATAACAAGGTATATAATAAGGACAATTAGTCATACAAGATAAGAAAAAGAAGAAGAATAAGGGTTAGTAATAAATATTTTTTTTTCCTTATTTATTTATTATTTATTATTTATTTATTTATTATTTATTTATTATTTCCTTACTTTATTGTATAATATAACTGTTATATGTATACAAAGAAGCAACAAACGCGACGGTTGCTGCTGCATGCAGACACAAGAATGCATGCATGCATGCAGAAACCTTTGTTACTGCATGCAGAAACAATAACGCCTGCATGCAGCCCCAAAGGTGGTTGTATGCACACAACAATGCATGCATGCATGCAGCAGGAACCTTTTTGTGTCTGCTGCTCTCTCTTATTAACAGCAACAAATAAATATTTTTTAGCAGCAAATAGTATATTTATTACCTTTTATTTCTTTTTTATTTATTATTTATTTATTTCTTATTTATTTATCCAGAGGGGCTGGACAATTAAGAGCGGCGCATTCTTTATGTATTGTCCTGCATGCATGCATCCATGCATGCATGCCTGCATGCCTGCATGCATGCAGGCATGCATGCAATACAGCCCCGTGGTCTAGTTCAAGGATTAATGTTATTATGCAGTGTATAAGGAAGATAAAGTTCTTAAGGAAAAAATAATATTATTTATTATTTATTCCTTAAGGAAACATTTTCTTGAGTATATAGTAGCAGCAGCAGCAGCAACAACAGCAACAGAAGCAGCAATAGCAGCAGCAGCAACAGCAGCAGCAAACTTAATCATCTGCTGCTACAACTGATGATGATGTAGCGAGTATCCATGCATTGCGACGCACACTGCAGCAGCAGCAGCAGCAGCAGCAAGATGCAGCAGCAGCAAGGTGCAGCAGCAGGCTGCAGCAGCGAAGTGCAGCAGCAGGCAGCAGCAGCAAGAGAAAAAGATCGTGACGGGGTGTATGTACTGCTTAGTTTCCTTTATGTATACAGGAGGGATAATTATAAGGGGTAATGTGCATGCATGCACGTGCATGTATGCATGCATGCATGCATGCATGCATGCACGCATAAGGAAGATAAACTTATTATATATATTATATTATACTAATATAAATATACTTAGCAAAGGATAGAAAGAGGGTGCTGCTGCTGCTGCTGCTGCTGCTGCTGCTGCTGCTGCTGCAGTTGCTGCTGCTGCTGCTGCCCTCCTTCTAATGTTGATTACGCGGGCTTAATTATCCCTTTATAGGGAAAGGAAGACACAATATATATATATATATTATATATATATATAT